ATTTCAGAAAATTTTAAGAACAAGTAAGTTTTGGCTTTTACGATTTTTTAAATTTAAAAATTCTGTGTTTTTCTGTCGATTCTTTACTTAAATATTCTTTTTTTTATAGCCCCTGATATTACCTTTAAAACAAAACCAGAATCATTTTTGTAACTACAATAGTTTTTAGAATGTTCAAAAAATAAATTTGCAAAATGCGGAAAATTGTGAAATTTTGAATTTTCTTTGGCAGAACTTCGTTATATGATAAAAGAAAAGTTCAGACCAAACTTCATCCAAATCAAAAATGGTCGATACCAACCATCAGTCTATTAGACATGGATAAAATACTTATTATTGCTAACAGAAAAAAATGTTTATTATTATTTTTTTAATGTTGTGTTGCTACCATTACACATCGGCTGCTTATTTTATTATATTAACTTTATAAAAAAAAAAAAAATAAGCGAGGGCTTCAACCCAAGGGGAGCTCTAGCGTTTCATAGCTACTCGTTACCCATTCGCCATCTGCTCTGACATGGTAGCTAAGTGCATCTTGCCTATTTTGAAAGGCGCAACTGGACCCGACAACTTGTAAACCAAGAATTTGCTTTTTATCATGTTTACCGGAAGATTGCGGGAGAAGCTAAAATTCATATTTGTAATAGTTATAGAAGACACCATTGCACCTGCTCGTTGAATGGGATGCTGTAGGGAGGCGATGAATGAACAGGATAGGCTCAATAGACCCACTAGGTCGCCGTGCATGCTTCTTCAATGTATGTCTACTAGTCATATCGAGTCCAAAACTCTTTCACGCTTTCAACAACAGCACAAATTTGATGAAGTAACATCAAAGAATACGACAAAAAATTATTAACTTATATTATCTCTCCTGTAATTCAAAATAAATCAGTAATGAAGAACTGACCTTGGAGCCAAAAACTATTCGTTACCCGTTTTGGAACCTTGAAACATTTAAAAGGACAAAATTCTAAAAAGAAGTTTTCATTCATCATCGGAGTCATTGGCAAGATCATCTAACTGCTACTGGTAAGCGAAGGGAAAATATGTATTCTTTGCAAATACATATACAAGGCTTAACGCGCCTGACAAACACGCTGGCTCTTGGGTATTCACTTATTTAGGTAGCCTCCTTTACAATAAAGGGTGTATGTATGTAACTTACTGGAATCACCGTACACTTTTAACACTATCTGTACCAGGTATACTTTAAATAAAATTTAGTACAGATTCTGAGCAAACCAAATCATGAACAGGCACTCAACCATAATTCCGGTTGATATGTTTAGGTAAAACTTTACCAAAAAAAAAGCTTACAGTGGATCGTATAAAAGCAAGGCATACACCAGCCGAGTGATAGAACACCTGTGACCAGCATTGGCCAACAACGTGCTAGAAATATTGCTGACTTTTTAAAACGCTTAAATACCAAGCATCAACATGGAAAGTATGCCACAAACGGGTACTTTGGCGCTATTGGCAAAATGGCTTGAAAAGGAGGAAGCCTATAGAAGAATAGCCGAAAGTGATAATGTTATAAGATGCGGTCAACCAACATCGCCCGACTTGGAAGAGGACTCCACGCCAATAAAACAAACTGGCAGTAATTATATGCTGGAGCGATATGTGGCAACACCGACTTCGTCGCAGCGTTGCATCAGGCGGCGGCGGTTAAATTTTAGAGATCCCGCCTTTATTTATGAACTGGAGGATATTTCCGTTGAGGAACAAATGGCGAATAAGTCAATTGTTGAGTTTGATGAGGAAATAGAGGATATGTTGTTCCATTGGATGTGTGAATTTCCAACTGATGCGGAGCGATGCGAAGACATGCCAGCGAAATTTGCGCCAACAATTGATGGGGAGGAAACGTGCATGGAATTTCCTAGCCGATGAGAAATAGAATATTTTTATACTATATAGTTGTTAGATTTTTTTTTTTATTATAAATGAAAATAATGTGATTTTTTGATTTGAGATTTTAATAGAATTATTAATAAATTTGTATCATAAGTAAAAAGTTGCCTCTAAAGTTTTTAAATAATTTAGAGTTATAGCGTAATGTATTTCAATAAGTTAGGTTGGAGCGAATTTCGCCTGAAAACCAAATACCGTATGCACTCGATGTAAACATAGTTAATTTTACCTTTCCCCTTTAAGGAGTAACTATAATTTTTACATAGGCTTTTGTTTTTATAGGAAAAAATAAATAAAAAAGTTTGAATGATACTTTTTGCTCATTAATGCAGATCTGTAGCTAAAGTTTTTCGAAAAGTTCCAAACGATCAAGAAAATACCCGAAAAAGCTCAAACAAGTCCCGAAAAAAACACCAAATAAATAAATAAAAAAAAATACAAGCCAAAATATTTTAATAGATATCTAAAGGTCTCGATTTATGAATTCCAGGCACATACCGAAAACTAATCTAAAATCCCAAATTTTTACCGGAAATTTTTAAGAAAATTCCGAAAGTTAAAACAAACCGAAGTCCCGAAAAAATTCAGAAAACTTCCCGAAATATTGCTAAATTTAAAATACCACGAATCCCGAAAATATGCCTAAAAGATAGCCGAAAGCTGACACACAAAGCTCAGAAATAATTTCGAAAACATCCAGAAATTATTCCGAAAATATCCAGAAAAATACTGGAAACCAAAACTCGAAGAATCCCCGGATCCCCGACCAATTTCAAATGTTCTTTAAAACATCCCGAATTTCCCTGAAAAGAGAAGAGTTAAAAAAAAATCACAAGCTTCCGAAAAATTCTGAAAAATTCCCAAAAGCAAATCACGAAGAAACCCAAAAAGTTTCCAAAACATCACGAAACATCCTGAAATATCCCGAAATTTTTACAGAAAGCAAGACGAAAACTTTCTACAAAATCAATAATTCCGAAATATCCAGCAAAATACATGAAACTAAAACTGAAGAACCCCGAATAGTTCCCGAAACTAATTCCAAAGAATGCACAACAGATCCGAAAACGTTTCTGAAGATCTTGAAAAGTGGAACACGAAACTCAAAGAGTCTCACAAAAAATCAAAAAGTCCCCAAAAATTCAAAAAACATCCTGAAATATTCCAAAAATTAAATCCGGAAAAAATCCACAAAGAAAACGAAAAGGGAACGAAAATTCGAAGAATCCCGAATAGTCCTGGATAAATTCCAAAAGTTCGCGAAATCTGACGAAAAGATTCCAGAAAATTAATCTTTATACCCAAAACCCTTCCTTAAGATCTTGACAACTGATACACGAAACCCAAAAAAAAAAACAGAAAGATGCCAAAAATTAAAACAAGACGTAGCTCAAGAAAATGCAGAAAAATTGTCCAAAAAAGCCCCAAGAATTTATTCCGTTTCAAAAGTTAATGAAAACTTCAGTAACAATTCCAAATGTTGCAGAAAACTTCTGAAAAAAACGACGTTTCGTGAAAAGCACCGACAAGATCGAGTAAAAACTTCAGAAATCTAAAAAAAAACCTGAAAATATACCAAAATACTCCATAACAAATCATATCTAAAATATATAGAGACAAATGTATCTTCACAAAAACGGTAGGACGAATTGATTTCAAAATTTAATAATAACCCAGTTGGAAAATGGTAATGCATTACTTTTTTCTGCCAACAAAAGATTAACAACTACGGTTGAAGGAAAATATGCATCGCAATGTAAGCGAGCGGATGATGTGTACTTTTGAAGCCACAAACAAACAAAACGTTTGAGAACTAACTCAAGTATGTTTTCTTTACGTTATCTCAACGGCTGCTATAGCTGAATGGATTGGTCACGGGTTCAATAATTTGTTAATAATTCTATTTATAGTTTCGTAAAGCGACATGCGACACATTACATTCGTATGACATTGCTGTAGAGAAATTCTGGCGTTTTTTCGTGCGTAGGTTATAGGGGCTCTCCATTACTTTTTGCATTCCCAAAAATTACCTTTTCCCACTGGGAACATTAATTTAAAGTTTGAGAATGAATTTCTTCTTTTTTGATGAGGTTGAACTACATTGCTAAAATATTTAACTTTTTCAAAATAAAAAAGTTTACGTTCTCCCTTTGTCACATTTTCGCGCTTTTCAATTGTTTCAGCTTCGGGTGCATTTCATTTGCATTCGCTGCCTTACAGCATTACTTCTACTTTTTCTCCCACTTGCCTCCCTTTTGGTGTCGATGCCGATCAAGCACTCACGAGACATGCCGACTCCATTATGGCGTACAAGCAACAACAAAGTAAAGAACAAAATAAAAAAAAAACTACCAACCAACCGAAGAAACTTTGTGCTAAAAAGAAGGTAGTAGTGCAAAATGCCACAAAGCCCTTGTAGTCACACTCCCATACAAAATGCACGCGGCACAACAATCACAAATTACAGCAACTACTACATTCAAAAAAAAAACAAGGCATCGCCAACAATTCGCTGGAATTTAGCATATCTCAAAGATACTAAAATACTTTTCCGCTTACTTAACCGCGCAGACTGCTTGACCATAACGTGCCACAACTACATACATACATACGTACATACAAGCGTGCAACTGCCACATCAACGCATTATTTACTTAGCATTTTTACCTCTGATTTTATTCTTGCCTGCTTGCTGGCTGTTGTTGCATGCAACATAGGGCAATCATTGTGCGCATATCATCAGTGAGGCGGGTGTTGGTTGGCTGGCCTGCTGTGGTGTGTTGTGGTGCTGTGCAGTTTAGTGGTAACTAAATGCGCTTCACTTTCGATATTGCCATATAAATTGTGCATCATCTTTCAACGGAATCTGCCGCAGTGCAATGGAGGCGTCGAATGTAGGGTTTCGGTAAAATTAGCGGGGGTCGCAGGCGCAGGTGAAGCACAGTCTGCTGGCTTCAAGGTGTACTGGAAGCAAGCAGCTGAAAATATATAGAGACGTAAGTGTATAAAAGGGCGAAGTGACCAGGCAGGGTGTTATGTTGAGTTTCTGGATATTTTTTAGAGCAGTTCTTATTTTTAAATTTTATTAATTTTGATGAGCTTCTTTGGCCTAGTTGGTGATTAGTGCAAGTAAAAACAACGTTTTTTCTTCACTGCTTTGCCCTACGTTTCGCTAAACTCCTTAGCATCCTCAGGGGCCAATCTTTATTTTAAATTAACAAACAAAAGAAGATACAAACAAAAACAATTAGGAACAAAAGTTACATTGAACATGTAGTTAATAAAGTCTCAATATTTGAATTTATCACGCAGCAAATATATACACTTACTTTCATATACGTATATTTGTTAACATATAAACATATAAACACTAAAACATAAACACTTAAAAGCTAGAGCATTGTACCATTATCGTTTGGTACACTTGTCATACTGATTTTCTTGTCACAAACATAATAAATAAGTAGCCGCAATATCATCTGTGTCTTCTTTTGTATTCATCGTTCTTTTTCTATTCTCTAATATGCGAAGGCTCTCTAGTGTGTATCTTGTCCTCTCTCTCTTTTCTACATCTATTATTCTGGCGTTTGCAAGATCAGCTGTGTGACTGTTTTCTAACATATGTTGTGCGAGTGCTGTGTTTTTCTTTTCCTTTCTTATGTCCGCTTCGTGTTCTGCTAAACGGATTCCCAGTGTTCTTTTCGTTGTACCTATATATATTTTGTTGCAGTCTACATTTTCTCCTCCCATGCATTTCACTTCGTACACCACGTTGCTTTGTTGGTAGGTTTCGATCGGGCTTTTAGTTTTCGTGAAGATTGTGGACAGTGTGCGATTTGACTTGTACGCCAGAGTTATGTTTTTCTTATGTTCGTTTATGTTGTGGTTGAATTTGTCCGTCAACTTAGGTATGTATGTAACGCTAAAGTATTGTTTTGTTTCAGTTGTTGTTGCGGTGGGTGTTATTTTATTTTCTTTGTTGTTTACTTCTGTTAATTTTTGTTCTATTAGAGTTTTTATAAGGTGACTGGGGTAATTGTTGTTTGTGAGGATTTTGTAGATTTTCTTTGTGTTTTCATCTAAAAATTGTTTGTGGCTTATGGTCAGTATTTTATTTATCAAATTTTTTGCTGCGTTAATTTTATATTTCATGGGTTGCGAGGACAGAAAATTTATTATTCGTCCAGATGATATAGGCTTGGAGTACCAGTCAAGTAATATTTCGTCATTTTTTCTATGGATGAGGACGTCTAAAAAGGGGATCTTGAAATTTTCCTCTCTTTCAATAGTAAATTGCAGCTTGTTGTGGTACCGGTTTAATGTTTTCAGAATAATATCTACGTCGTTTCGTTTCACTATCGCGAAGATGTCGTCCACGTACTTAACTATGAATTTGATGTTAATGTTGTGAAGTTTCTTTAATTCCGAGATTGTATTATCCAATAAGTCGTCCATGATTATATCTGCTATAGTCGGGGAGAGGGGATTACCCATCGGCATCCCAAAACTTTGTGTGTATATTTTGTCATCGTACATGAAATAATTGTTATCTTTAAGACAGAAGTTTAAGAGATCCAAAAACTTGTTTTTTGGTATGTTTGTTCTAGACATAATTTGACTGAATTTGCTCATTATTATTTTGATGGCTAGATATGTGGGAATGTTGGTGAATAATGACACCACGTCAAATGATACTAATAAGTCCTCTTCACATATACGCACCTTCTCTAATCTTTCTTTCAGTCTCAATGAGTTTCGTATGTTGTAGTCCTCCGACGTTAAGTCACCTAAGAATTTTCCAATAAATTTTGACAGACCATAACACGGGACACTGACAGATGACGCTATAGGACGTAGGGGTAAGTTCGGTTTATGGATTTTTGGTAAACCATAGAGCCGAGGCGCAGTCGCTGCGGTGCAGGTAAGTTGTTTCTTTTCTTTAATATTTATATTTTTGTTTTTGTAAAGTTCGCCGACCAATTTATTATTCTGTTCTTATCTTTATTTTGCAAATCATGTATAGCTTAAATTGAAAATCGGTTATATGAAGAAGAAGACTTACTCAACTTAGGTATTTATTCTACTTTCTTAAACGATCTAAACGGTTTTAGGGCAACCAGAGATCGAGCAGAGTATTCATTTTACCAGAAGCCCGGTATTTTTTGCCTTTATAATATTCTTAAAGAAAGCAACGTTCCTAAAGATGAAGAAAATTCCAAAAAAAAAAATCTCAAAAACTTTGGATAACCAGAAAATCCTAAAGAATCGAGAAAATCCCAAAAATATTATCTCCCAAAAATTTGGACAGTGCCGAAAGTACCAAAGGCCCGAAGTCATCCCGAAAACCCCATACCTAAAATCCACAAAAACACGAAAAAACCTTAAAGGTCCCGAAAAAAACGTCCTGAAAATTCCAGAAAATACAAAGAACACCCCGAAGAAATCCCCAAAAAATCGTAGGAAAAAAACTGAAAAAAGTTGCCAAGGAAATTCCGAAATAATCGCGGAAATTCTTTTAAAACCTCGAATAACTAAAATTTTTTCTGAATAAAAATCAAAAATTAAGAGACAATTCGAAAATTCATGGCATGTACTAAAAAGGTAAGAATTCAAGTCGCAAAAGAAATTGAGAAAATCTCGGAAAGTGCCAAAAAATACCGAAACAGAAAAATTCGGAAAAATCCCAGAAAAAATTTCTACCAAACAAATTTCCACAGATCATAATATGACTGCTTTTACACAGTTCAAGTATTGAATTCAGTTCAAGAGAGAGGGTGAGAAGAAAAGGGACGAGTACCCATGTGTCTGTACCGTCAAAACGTTTCAACTTTTTTGCTTTGCTTTTGGCATTTTCGTTTCTTCCCATTCAAAGAACCAAAAACTTGAATTCAACAGAATTGAAACGTGTAAAAGCAAATAGAAATCACAAAAGAGAATGAGCAAGAATTGCTTTCAAGTACTTGAATCATGTAAATCGGATGTATATCTCGAGAAAACGATACCTCGAAAAAACCATAAGTACGAATAAAAAAATCCAATAAAGTATTCAAATATAAAAGTAAAAATTTGTAAATTAATCTGAAATTCAGACTTTACTTTGCCTTTTTGATTGCAATATAAAAAACACGCCTTTATTAACCGTAATAAAAATAAATTAAAAAAAAAATTTTTTGAAAAATGTCATTTTAATATCATAACATAATAACCCTTTGCATTAAATCTAAAATTGTGTATTTTTATTCTTGCCTGCTAGACAACAATTTAAATCTATTGACTCTTTTGCTAAACTAAATACTATATTTATATTTGAATTATTACGTTGTTACTATTATAGTCATTCGCAGTTACTTTGTTTTTGCCCCGTCATTGGCATTGTCGCTATTTGTTTGCTGTTGCGCATGGCTGCGACATTTAATGTGCTGCACTAACGGCCAGCGGACAGCAGCGGCTAGAGCAACCAACCTCTGCCATTCGGCGTTCGGTGAAAAATGGCTGCAACGCCACTCAATTGTATTGCATTTGTATCCATTAATGCAATAGTTGCACATTATTATTATTTGTTTTCGTTGCGCTGGGCCTATTAAGCATGCGCAGTTTCGATGCGCATTGCCAGGTTTGCGCCTTAAGTCTTTCGTTTACTAGAGTAAACACGATACGTATTTATGTATTTGCTTTTCAGGCATTTATGTAATTTTTTCTCCTAGTAGACTTAATTTTTTTTTCTTATATTTCTTCAACTGCAATAAAAAGTCTCCTGCGGCTTTTTCAGCAATCAACATTTTCATTTATAGTTTCCCCGCAGCGTTGCATATTACCTGTTGGTGCTGGTGTTTTTGGTTTAATTTAGATTTAGTTTTCAAATCATATTTCTCTTATACAAACGTTTAGTTTTTTTATTGTTGTAGTATCTTAGTCTAGTTTATATAATTTTCTCTTTAGCAAATTGTCCATCATCAACGCTTGTTGAAGTTGGTTTAGCAGTTTGCCGCCGTTATGGCTATAGACTTGGTATAAGCACAAACTTTATAGTAGTGCTGCATTTCTAGCACCACAGATTTGATTAAAATCTCCTTTATTTATTAAAATAGTAATCGTGAAATCAAATGATGGCAATTTTTGCATAGCTGCTGGCACTGCGGTAAATAGTCGGTAATAGGCAGCTGAAAACTTAATGGAGTAAAAATGTAAACTCGAAATTAAATAACTTCATAATGATGATTAAAAATGTTTTATTGTAATTAAGTTTAATTACAAGCAAATAATTTTAATAATATATACATTTAAGAAATGGCGGTGAACACCTTCTCTGAAGCATTTTTTTGTGATTGTCAGCGTTACAGCAATTTTTAGGGAATAAAATAAAAAATTTAACTGTATCTACACATTAGAACGTACCAGAAAAAAGTTCGCCGTACGCCCCTGAGTCTAAATTATTTTCACAAAGCAAATTTTAACTTTTTTCGTGACGAACCTTGAGGTCGCTTTTTAGATTTTTCGTCATATCTTCGGCTTTTGCAGTCACATCTTAAAGTATAATAAGCTCTCCAAAAATTATTAAACTTTTACCAAAGAAGTGTTTCGATTAGATTTCTAGAACTAATTTAAAAAAATGTATTACCGAATGTAGGTGTCACCGAAGAATGTAGAAAGGTAACGTCCAGGATCGTACAAAAAAAAAATACTTTAGACTCAAGGGAGTACGTTTTACAAATTTTTTGGTATTTGCACTTTGTAATGGTAATGACAATAGTAATAGTAATTAGTAATGCTAACATGTAGCTAAGTACCATTAGCTACAATAGTAATTGTAATGGCAATAAAATGTGAGTAATTATGGTAATGGAAGTGATGGTAATCTTTATTGGTATTGGTAGTTAGTAACGATAATGGTTAATCGTAATAGGTTTGGTAGTGGTACTGAACGAATGATAGCGATTCAGTCGTGCTTTTTATAAAAAACTGAAAATGCGCAAAAAAAATAAAAACACAGAAAATACCCATTTTGATGTTTTGATACGAGAAATTTTTAACTTAAATTACTTTGAACGTTTTTTTTCTGAGAGTAGGTTTTCAGCTTATCTTTTAGCTGCCTGTGTGCGTACTTGAAGGGACAGTTGGAGAGGGAGTTTTCTCACGTGAACTTAGGCTGGATACAGCTTTCCGTCTGATTGATTACTGCATCACATACCAAATGGAAGTATTGACCATCTAGGATATATTACGGAACCTCGCTTAACCGGGTAATTCTAGCAACTAACCACAGTTTTTCGGAAGACGAAAGTCTTTCATAAAATAATTCACAATTCTGGTGGCTATCTTGAAAAGCTCTTTTCAGCCATTCGAAAGACAAACTGAAAGATCTGGTAACGGTGAGGTCTTAGCGTTTTTTGTCAGTCTTTTAAAAATAAGTGCTCTAATAAATAAATGAAATAAAAAATATAGCTTTCTCTTTAAAAGAATAAAAACTAAAAATTTAAAGAAAGTTAAAGTAGAAAAGAAAAAAATTTATTAAAAAAGGAAAAGCTAATAAAACAAGTTACCAAAATATAAATAATTATTAAAGATAACATTTTTTCTTTCTAAACAATTTAATATAAAAATAAAAAATAAATTTAATAAAAGGAAAAAAATAAAATAAGTTAGTACAAATTAAATGAAGTAAAACCAGAGATTTCGCTTCTCAAAGAACACATTCTTAAATTTAAAAGAAAATAAAATTTAAAACGTGGCAAAAAAATAAATAAAAATAAATAAAAAATAAAATAAGTTCCTAAAAATTGGAAGAAATAAAAATGTTTTTTTTTTTAACGACCTAATCAATCAAAAAACAAAATATGTCTTAAAAAAATGTAATGAAATTAAAAAAATATATATATTTTTTTGAACAAATAAAAAAATAAATAAATTTAAAAAAATTAATTCTAAAAAAGGTAATAAGCAAATAAGCTAAAAATTAAAAAAATGATTTGACCCCGGATCCCACGAATAATATTGTAGTGCTTCGCTCACTCATTTTTTGCGACTATTGGAGCAGCGTTAACAAAATTATGTACGACTTCAATAAAACATGTCTGGCATTTCTCTCCTGTGCTAACTGACCCCAATTGTAAGAGTTAAGTGAAGCCAAATCCTTCCCCACTTGGTCTCTCCAACGCAGAGGAGGTCTTTCGGCAAAAGCTTTCTTTAAAATATGTACTCCAAGGGCCGCATCAACGCATGTTTTATTTACAATGCTTCTGCGCCACATATTTACTACCAGCGCGGGTATGAAAAGTGACTTATAGAGTGTGGTTTTCGTACGTCGAGAGAGAGGACTTTACTTCTCAATTTCTACTCAGTCCAAAGTAGCACAACATACATATAAGGGTGATTAATATGATAAATATAACTGG